CGGGGGCTCGGGGCGCGTGGCCTCGTCTCTCTCCGGCTTCCTTCCGTGGCGAGAGCGGTTTTTTCCAGAGAAGGTGCCGAGCTGGGACCGGGCTCATCTTACCACCTCCGTCGCTCTCTGCAGTGCGCTTGCTTAAAGCCGAAACAGCCGCCTTTTCCAAGCCGCTGTGTATCAGGCAGCGCCGGCGCGCGGCTGGGTTTGGCGCGCAGCGTGTGGGTGTGAGTGTGTGTGGGAGAGGCACAGACACACGGAATATGTACACGACAGTTTTGTTTAGTAACAGTATTAGAAAGTAATCTCCATTCCCTCAGGGAGGAGATGACCTACCGTGGGGCGTTTGAGGTCGCCTCGGTCACTCGGCGCCTGCAGGCAGTTGTAACTGAAGTTGGAGGAAAGATACATTAGCCAGAAAGGGTTCAAAGGCTAGTACAATGGTCCAATTTTAGAAAAGGAAGTTAAATTTATATATGTAACATTATGTACTTAAGGCCCTTCCTTTACAAAAAAAAAAAAAGAAAGCCCGTAACTCAGGATTTCAAATCTAAAGGATGAAGTTTTCCAGAACGCAGGCAGCACTTGAAAGATTTTGTTGAGTTCCGAGCATTACAGTGTACGTGGGGTATTTGTAAACCAGACTGAAAGCTTGATTAGGATGTTAAGGGGGAAAAAGCCATATTGGTTCAGCAAACATTGAACTTCTGTTCCGAGTATCAGGGGACGTTAAACATGAATTAAGACAATTTTGAGGTAAATAGGCTTGTTTAGCTTGGAGCAGCCTGGAGGTCCCTGTTAGCTGACTTAATACACAGCATTTGGAGGCCTGACTGGAAGATTTAGTTTGTGTAGACCAAAAGACAGCTGGGACTAAATTAGTGAAAATTATTTGGAGGTGATTTCGACTCCAATACAAGGAAGTAAAAAATAAATTTTTTTTAATTAAGGAAATCTCTCCAAACAAATAGCCCCTCTCAGAGATTTAAAAAATAAAAAAGTGGCAGAATCTGGTGGGCGGATAGATTTAGATGGGGAAACTAGATGACTGTTACAAATCTAGAGATTCTTTGAATTATGGACAGAGACAGTTGCTCTGTAGATAAGCGGATTGTGAGATACTAACATTTTAGATGTTAAAGGGTTTAGTAGAAAGTTTGTAATTTAATAGAAACCATGGTAGCTGAATAGTAAAATATTAAAAAGAAACATCTAAACATCAGAAGCCACATAAAAGTAACATAAAATGAAAAAACTGTTTCAAATCAAGTGTTTATAAACATCAAAGTCTTTTGGTCCAACCAGTTTATGCTGATAGAATTGCAGCAATTGCGTAAAATTGTGTTTTTTCCCCTTTATTATTTCTTTTACTTAATTACTTTACATAGTTTTATGTATTCCTCATCTTGTTCTAACCATATAATCTTACTTTAGATTAACACCAAATTAGTCCTAACCATTCCCCTGAAGCTGGAAATNTGTATTCCTCATCTTGTTCTAACTATATAATCTTACTTTAGATTAACACCAAATTAGTCCTAACCATTCCCCTGAAGCTGGAAATTTGGAATGTTTGTATGAAAATATATGTTTTTTTCATAATATTCAGTGGTAAGTAGCCCGTACCAATACCAGTTGTTATTTTTTTCTCTTTTGAATTATAACCTTGGGTATAGTCACTAAAATAATAATACCAGATGAAAAGGATATTACCATTTTGCGACATTTGTTCCCAGTTGCCAACCTACCTTTTTAATAATTTGCATAAGTTAACTGCTGAATTTTTAACAGTCAAGAAAAAAAAATACTCTCTTATATAGTAACTTCCTCTTTAAAGCTTTTAAATATTTAATGTGAGGACTGATTCTCAGAAATAATGACAACTCTGGTAAATATCTTAATAGTACATACTTAGCTTAAGTCCCTTACAATGTGTCTACAATTTAGTTCTCATTGTATTGCTTATTTGTATTGGAAACATGAACATGTTTTAATACCTACTTTATGAAAAAAAAATGAGATAGTCTGTTTTGATCTGGACAATGACTGTAGCAGCTGTAGATTCTGTTTTGAAGCACTATAGAAGAAAAGCAGTTTCCACTCTGAATCTCTCCTTCAGAATAGCTAATGACGTTTGGCTCCCTTGAATTGTCACAACCCAGAGCTAACCACCTCAGATGAGTTTATTGTATAGAATCCATACTTAGACTTTGTTGAAATAAAAACCTGAAAGATAACTTTCAGCAATTGTGTAAATGTCTAGGAGACCAAAAGTATTTTCATTTTCAATCCTATGACAATTAGGGCAAAAAAAGGTTACAGTTCACATTATTGTTGCCTGTTTTTCCTTCCGTATTTAGATCCAGCGGTTTAAAAAAAAATTGACTCTCTCATGATGACTTTGCATTCTTAGTAAACACTTGGAGATCCTTACTTACCTATTACTGTACAGTATTTACAGACAGTCCTTATCTACCAGAGACAACTTATCTATTTTAGTTTAGGTCACATTTTTAAGAGTGAGGCTTTTAAGATAAATTTGTACGATTTTGCCCTTTGGAAGTGGCGTGTATTCTAATACTTTTGACCTTTAAAAAGCTTTCCCTGTCATAATAAACTTTTAAAATAGAACAACGAAAAGCATCTCCCATTCTAAAGTCAGAAAATTATTTATTTCTAGATTTAAAAGCTAGTTATTAAACTTGGAATATAGTAGTTTTCCCCCGCTTGGACTAGTTTGCTGCTTTGAAATGAAATGGTTTTGATCCTAAAGGCAGTGTTTATCCCAGTGAAACAAGCATATCAGAGCTAACAGCTTTAAGCGTATTAGCTTTATTTATCTAGAAAGGGCCAACTTTGAACAGAGAATTTAGAAGTGGAACAGAGTTGAGAACATATTTCCACAAAAAGACATATAAGCATGTTCATAGCAGCTCCTAACTGGAAGCTTTCCAAGTATCTACTTGTGGGAAAATGGATAAACAAATTATGATACATTCACAGAGTGGAATACTTGTTAGCAATAAAAAGGGATGAATTACTGATCCACTGGTGAATCTCAAAAACTTTATGTTGAGTGAAAAAAGCTTTAGTTATAGAAATCAGTGGTGGGAGATAGACCAGAAAGGGGCAGGAGAATACTTTGTGGGGCGATGGAAATATTTTACACATTCAGTGGAGACTACAGTGTACTTAATTGTCACAACCCAGAGCTAAACACCTAACTAAGATCAATTTATCATATGTAAATTGTACCTTTTTTTTTTTTTTAAAGAAATTAACCAAAGGTGAGTTTTCTCAATAGTAAAATATAATAAATCATTAAGTTCAAACTAAAGAGTTTAATTTATTAACAAGTAAATAATAAAGGTTATTTCTGAAAGATTGAAGAATTTTATTTTAGAAAACTTTTTTTTTTTTTTTTTAGAATTTAGGAAAATATTTACATGGTTACTATAAGTTGTAAATGTTTTTTCCCCCTCTTCCTAACTAGACCCACTATAGTTAAAAATCAGTGTAATTAAAGATATTAGCCTTTGTAGAGAACGATCTCATTGAAACATTTTCTTCCATATAACTACTTTGCAATTTAAAATTCCTTGAGTTATCAGGTATTTACTGAATACTTACTATGGGCCAGGCAGTGTTCTAGATATGGTGACACTGTTCTGTTCGTAATAATGAATGGGGAAAAAAACTTAAACATTGATTATTAATTTCATTTTATTTGCCCTTTTGTCTTGAATAGTCTGTATTAGGTTTGAAGTAATAATGATAAAGCCATCCATTGAAAATATTTTACTTTTATCTTTCTAAAGTTCAGAAATAGAAATTGTTTGTGTCTTACCTGTAAATGATACATAAGAAAATGTTATAAAATTATCAGCAACCAAATTGCCAATATTATTTTTATGATATCATTATATGCAACCTTTTGAAAGGGGGGAAAAATCTGTCCTGGTTCCTTAGAATATAGTTCTTCATTGAGACCTATGTATGTCTATATGTACTTTTTAACAATGCTTTTGTCACTGAATTTGTTTATATATCTTGATCAAGGAGTAGGGTGTGATAGCTAGCCCATCTACATAAAAGGTTGAATCTGCCTCTTCTTAATTCAGTCTCTTCTAAGGAGATACTTTCTTTTAACAGTATCTAAACTTTCAGAAAATTGGTGTTATAAAATCACTTGCTCCTCAAGTTGCTTTGAAATACATTTTTCTGTCTAGGTTTTGTTTCTCTGACAGTGCTGGTTCTTTCACTCTACCTTCTTAAACTTATTGTTTATCTTAATAGTGAGAAGTAGAACATTACAAAATGAATATTGGAACCATGCTCGGTATTAATAGTACTAGTGTCTGATTTTTATTTTTTTAAAATTAGAAACAGGTGATTTTTTAAAAAATTGGAGCCCTGGCTGGTGTGGCTCAGTTGGTTGAGCATTGTCCTGTGCACTGAGAGGTCCCTGGGTCAATGCCCAGTCAGGGCACATGCCCAGGTTGTGGGCTCGATCCTCAGTCGGGGGGTGCAGGAGGCAGCAGAATTACGCCTCTCTCATCGCTGTCTCTTTCTGTCTCTCCTCCCTTCCTCTCTCTCTAAAATNTGCAGGAGGCAGCAGAATTATGCCTCTCTCATCGCTGTCTCTTTCTGTCTCTCCTCCCTTCCTCTCTCTCTAAAATCAATAAAAACATATTTTAAAAAATTGGTAACAGGCACCATGTCATTGATAGTGGAAGAAGGTCTGTCAGAAGTGAAAATATTTGAATTAAGGGAAAAATTTTAAGGAAATTTAATCCTTTTACATTCAAATGAGTAAACAAAGGATTGCCAGCTGGACACCTTTTTAACGGATTGAACATTGAGGTCAGTCAGTTCCATCTTTGACTTAACTGCAGCCAGAAATGCATCTCTCCTTTCTGCAACCCCTGATCTTCTCCCATACTTTTATCTTCAAATCATGGCTTGTCTTCTAAAACCCTTAATACTTGAGGCACCTTCTTGCCCTAAGTGAAACGAAGCTCTCCTTGAGTATAGCACTTCCCCTGTAGCGCTCTCAGTGGTGTCTTCTTTTTTTTTCTATCCCTCTGTGTGTTTTGGGATGAGGGAGCGAGGTAGGTGGCATCTGGTAGGCACTGCGGAGCTGCTCTCACACTGGAACTGTTTTACTCTCCGTCAAAGGAAACTGCCTTCTACCATCCATCAGTATCCCTTTTTGCTGGTATCTGTTGAACTTGAGCCTTTCCCTTACATTTTTTAAGAATGTTGACACCCCCTATTTTTTCCTTCTATAATACTGCACTTTCTTGTCTTGCGTAAAGCTGCCCTTCTTATGTTGTTTTTGTTTTTTTCAATTTGAGGCCAGTACCACCGTACATCCAGATAATGAAACCAGAAATCTGGGAATCATGAAGGAGCTTCACTTCCTGTATTTGCCTCAAGCTCCGTACTTAATCAGTCACCAAATCCTATTGATTTGAACCACCTGAGTTAGCAGGTCTTATGTTTCAAGGTGAGTGAGGGTTGATCACAGACCTGCTCTGAGATCCCAGTGAAGACTGTTTCCTCAGAAAAAGTGCGCGCACATGCACATGCACTACGCTAGGGGGGCCGTTTGTTCTCTCTGCTTTGATGGCCACTGTCTTAGTTTCAGCTTACATTATTTTTTTCTAGGTTGTATCAGTGGATTTTCAAGAGGTGGTCTTGCCTCTTTACCCTCCTACCACTAGCCCTCTCTGCTCTTCCTTCATGTTTCTCCACTAATCCATCTTCCATCTATACCAGTGTAATTTCATAAGTGAACAGTTTTCCAGTTATATTAATATTCAGGTATTTCAGTGGTTCCCTTTTATAGCAGAGCTTTTCATAGTCTGGCACCTGCTCACTTATGCAGTCCCTCTTTTTCATTATATCCCAGCAGTACTGTAGCATGTAGCTTCCTAAACTTTTCATCTCTCTCTGCCTTTGCCTTTGCTGTTTCTTCTCTGTGGCTCTTCCCATCTGCCTGTGGACTCCTATAGTTAGTCATCTTTCAGAACCTGTTTAGGTATCAAATCCTTCTCTTTGCTCAACTTTGCAGAGAGTTAATCCCTTTGTCCACTGTATTGTTTGCTTATGACTGCACATAGTACACAGTACTATATTCCTTTTTTGTAGATCTATGTTTTATACTAGGTGGAAAGCTCTTTGGGAGTAGAGACTGAGTCTTCTAATCTCTTCTAAAATGTATATCCTATAAGAGCAGGGACCTTATCTCACTATCAGCCTGTATCCCCAGCACCTAGTGCAATATTTGGAATGTGGTGGGTACTTGTATTGTTGAACAAATGAATGAATTATTGTTATTCCTATTTTACAGACCAAAGAAACCTGATTCCAAGTATACGAAAATCTGGATTTATACAACACATAAACTTTGAATTAGTTATTTGAAATCCTGGTCTGTGCCAGGCACTGTAATAAGCACTGGATACATAGAGACAAATAAGGCAGCTGCTGCACTTGCTTTTAGCACAGTATCTCTGTGTAGTGGGTATTTAATAATTACATAGTAAAAAAGTTGAAAAGAAATTGTTTAACAGTAGCATATTGATCAGATTTCTTCATTCAGAAATACTTATTAAGCATTTAAATTGATGAAAGAACCCAGAGAGAAGGGATTGTACAAGTGTGAACTTTCTAGAGTGATGGAAATACCCTGTTTTGTTTTAGGTAGTGATCACAGTTCTATGTAGTTGAAAAATTTATCAGATTGAACACTTAAGACATCAACAGGCTAAACACTAAATTATGCCTCAATATAAAATAAAATGAGCCAAGCATCATTTAGTCACCAAGGATACAGTGGTGATGCAGCCAAATAAGGTCCCTGCCCTTGTAGATCTGATGTGATTGGGAGACATGATAGGTGGGTATAACCATTAAAATTCATGTTTCCAAAGGATATTAGGGAATTGGAAAATGTTTCTGATACAATATTAAGTGAAAAACATGATATAGACTGTATATACAACATGGTATCAGTTTTGCTTTTTGGGTTTTAAGTATTTAAAGCATATATATATATATATATGCACATACACACACAAAAACCAAAACCTACAACATAGAAATAAAAAAAGTGTTACTTACTCTTAACTGATGGGATTAAAAGTTACTTTATTTTTTATATTTTTCTAAATTTTTAAAAAATACTATTTTTGATAATCCTAAAACAAAATAAAAAATATACTGTACAAAATATACATTATACCTAATAATTAGTAGGTAACAGGTTTTTTTCACAGTAGCTAAAATATCTGTAATAGCTCAACATATATCAAACAGGTTCATAGGAAATAGCTGGTCTTAAAAGTTTTTTTAAAAGTTTCTTGTTTGATTTTTCTGTATTTCATATTTCTTTACTAAAATCAGCATTAATAGTGATTTCTAATTGAGTTTTATAGGCTGTAGTATTTTCCTTTATAAAGCTTTTCTGTAGTTAAAATGAAGTTTATCATTAAGAAGCATATTGTACTAAAACTGTTATATAAGTCATTACTTTGTTGTAGGAGATAATAGTACTTTTCATTACTTTATATCAGCGATTTTCTACCGGTGTGCCACAAGAATTTTTAAAACATGGAGTACCTGACTATGTAGTCAGGGGCCAAAGTATTAAGTGCATCAAAAGAACGTTTCCTGTAGTAGATTTTAAAACAGTATTAACACCATTTATTTCCTAATATTTGTGGACTGAGATAGGAAACACTAAACTTAAGAATCTAAGTTAAGGTTTTCATCTTTACATTCTTAATTTATTTACTTTTTTTTGTTTTTGCGTATTTTTTTCCATTCATTTACTTTTTGACTTCGAGTCATTTAACCTCTTTTGACTTTTTAATTTTGTAATAGACAGTATGATATTAATGTTATTCTACATTCAACAAACATCTATTGAATAACTACTATTTCAAGATACTATACTGGCTGTTGGGACCAATATCAATATAAGGTAATTAATTGTCTGATCTACAAGATAAGTGTAAATAAATTACAGTACAGTGTGATGAGTGAGAAAGGGACTGACATTTATGCTCTACATTATTCATTCAGTAAGTCACTCATTAAACATCTGAAGTGTCTAATTTGTTCCAGAAGAGTAGCACACAGCTCCTTTTCTTACGGGCTTATGGGAGAGTCAGCTTTATAAATAGATTACAATAGTGTAATAGAAGGACGTGTGGAAAAGGGTCTTGGGAAAGCATTAGGAAGTGATTAATTTGCTTTGTGAATCAAGAAAGACTTCTGGAGGAGGCAGTAGGTCACCCTAGTCTTAAAGGATTTTACCCAAATGAGTCATAGACCAGAGGTAGGCATGGCAAACAAGGAATTCCTTATGCAAAGAACACAGGAAGGCTGCTACTAGGTAATAGCTTTGGGGTGGCTTTGAGTACTTGAGAGATGGGATGTTTGTGGGAGATGAAGCTGTCAGAGTAGCCCTGCTGTGCTATAGAGTTGATACTTACAGAAACTGTGGTCTTTTGTAGCACCATCCAAAAAACTTTCTGTGGTGATGGAAATGTTCTCTGTGCTGATCATTTCAGTAGCCTCTTAGCCACGTGTGGCTGCCGAGCTGTTGAAATGTGACTAGTGTGTCTTAGAAACTGGATTTTGAGTTTTACTTAATTTTAATAATTTAAATGGCCACATCAGTGTTTTAATCATGTTTTTTACTTTCTATGTTTTATGATGCTTTGACATCTTGGGGGCCTTGTTGGCCGTGGAGAACTCGCCTCTCCCAGGACCGGGGATAATAAACAGGTTGCCTGTGGAGCTCACCTTTCATACACAAATCAGCCAATCCAAAGCCTATACCTTAACTACCTCCTTTATCTAACTCAGCAGGATTTCCCCTGCCTTAAATCACCCTGGGCCAAATATAAAACAACTAGGGACCTGTCAATAGTCTAGAGCCCACTGAAAGTATTCAGTCCTAGATTGTTTCCCTGCTCTACCTTGCTGTTTCCTGGAAGCCACAATAAAGGCTTGTGCCCACACTTTCTGTCACCTTCCTCCCCATGAACCCTGGTACTTTCCCATGTGTCCTGCGTGGCATGGTGTGCTCTTTCTTCTTGGGAACTGTAAGTAGGAAACTTTTCTTTCAAGGCCGTTGTCTCTGTGTCTGTCATCTTATGTCTGATTAAAACAAAATCTTGAGTACAAATCAAAACAGTATGGCTAGTGGCTACTATATTGGACCACACAGATCTATAGACAGACTTCTCTCCCCCAAGAAGAAGTTCTTTGTCATTTCCAGAAGTTTAATTCAAAGGATCTATATGGAATATCTCCATTTTGGTTTTGAGAATAGAGTAGCCAGCATGACAGGTGAGATCCTTACCCTTACAGAGCTTTATTCTGGTGACTAAAAGATTATACCTCCTGCCCCCTAATTTCTACCATACAGCATTAAGTTGAGTTGGCAAAATATTTTTTCAAGGGAGTTGCTACCAATCTCCTTAGTCTCTTAACTAAAAGCTAACATTTATTGTATATTTTTCCTGTGCCAAGAACCCTTATAGGTGCTATACATACATAAATGGGTTGTTTCATTTAGAGCTCATAACAAACCTTTGGCATGGTGTTACTTCAAAAATAGTTTCATTTTGGAAGAGGTGGCATTAAGCCAGTCTTTCAGTAGTTCCACAGTAAGAACAGTTATCGAGAGTAATTTTAGCAAGAGAACAGATAAAATTGAAAGGTTAAGGTCGGTGGTGTGCGGGCAGGCTAAATAGCCATCTCAGACAGTGAATAAAGAAAAATTTAAAAGGGAATGAGGACAGGGAAGGGCTACACCATGATGGCAGCAAAACCATGCTTAGGACAGTGAACCAAGGAAGGTGCATAGCAGAAGTAACAGGAGAGCCTAGGCTGGGCTGCTCTGGCTCACTGAGAAGTCAGAGAGAGAAGGGGGCGTGGGGGCAGGCTCAGGGGGTAAACCGAGCCCGAGCTGCCACTGTCCATTGCTCCCCTGGTTGCAAGTGTCCTGGGGTCCCCTCAGAGGCAAGAAGGGGGAAGGAGATGGTGGCAGCATGTTTCCCTGGTGGGGAGCGTGCACTGAGTCCTTTGTCCTGAGTGTATTTATCTCTTTTTGCTATTGGAAATCTTAGGGGAGGTCTCAGGGGAGTGTCTCAATAGAATATTCATCAGCTTTCCAGGTGGGCTGTTTCCGGGTGATGGTCTCCACTGATTGGTCAGTGCCAGGGCGGGGTCATTAGTCAATGTAGCTGGTCCTGAGGCAGACACAGTGCCAGTTGTCTGGTTTTGCTGCTCTTCTGGGCCTGGAGCTGAAATACAACTGAGGCCTAGATGTTATCTTTAGGGAGGAAACATTCAGGGACTCTAAACTGCATGACCAGCATGTGCTAGGGGAAGATCGTTTACGCTGGGAACAAGGTTCCTGTTTTCCCAGTTTTGCCCCTTGCTAGGCATCTGGGACTTTCTGTCATGGTGAGTTTCTATACCCAAGTTTTCTGTACCTAGCCCCGTAACAAAAATGTATCTGTTGTATTTGATTCACGGTGATTGAGAACAACCTTTGGACTTCCTTTCCTGGGCCAGCTATGGTTAAGCTACAGTTTACCCACATGAAAAATGAGACTACTAGTGGTACCTACCAAATACAGTTGTTCAAACTAACAAAGTATTAAATGAAAAAACACAGTTGCATTCTTAGCATAGTCTATTATCATTAATATTTATTAGTATGTGTGGACACATAATCTTCAGTTTTTCTCTTCTCTACTAAGCTATTGTTACATAGTGCCTAGCAAGGTACCAGGTAGGCCCTTAGGGAAGGATGTCAAATGATCACTTTAAGAACAGAACGGATTCCCTGCAGAGCCCAGCAGAGGCTGGACACTATCCAACATGTGATAAATACATGCTGAAATGTTTATCTTAGTTTCCCCGTGTGTTTGTCTCCACAGGCATAGGGACCATTTCATTTATATCACTACATCACTTTATAATACAAAGCGGTGCTGAGTACTCAAGAAGGCACTTAAACACTTATGTAATAAAATGTATCTGACAGTGAGAACACAGTATACGAAAATTTCAATTAGTTTTTTTAAAATTATAGCCGTTACACAACATCTAGGTGTTTCTATGCCTTACCAAAGTATATAAAGCATTGAAAGTAAAAGAAATTAAAACATGTTCTGTCTGAAATTATATAGGGTGTCCTCCAAAAATTGTGTACACACTTTAATAGCTGATAGCTCAATTTTGAAAATGAAATGTATTTTAATAAACACTACCTTTATTATTACTCATAGGGTGTATATACTTTTTTTGGGACACCCTACATATGAATGGTAAAATACAGATATTCTGTTGTATGCTTTTAGACATGGTGGAAATATTGTCTAAATCTATAAAATATATCACACATTGAATTTTGCTTATGATTATGGGTCATAATTCCTGAAATAAAGGTAAACACAAATAGGATAATGACAGGATATTTGATATAGGACCTGTATCTGAAAATTTTGTTTCCATTTCACAAGTGTCAAATTAGCCCACAAATGAAACAAGGTGGTCCTAGGTAAAGGTGGCTTGATTTACTGATTCATGGTTTTAAAGATGAATAGTAAAGATGTTAAGGTAAGAAGTAAAGAATGGATAAAAGAATCAGCTCAAGGATGAGGCATGCTATTTGAGTTTTATTACAAGAGCACTCAGACTAACACATCTGTACATGTTTAGTTTCAGAATGGCTTCGGTTATTGCCTTTCCTTGGTGTACTTGCACTACTTGGCTACCTTGCAGTTCGTCCATTCCTCCCAAAGAAAAAACAACAGAAGGATAGCTTGATTAATCTTAAAATACAAAAGGAAAATCCCAAAGTGGTGAATGAAATAAACATTGAAGACTTGTGTCTTGCTAAAGCAGCTTATTGTAGGTGTTGGCGTTCTAAGACGGTAAGATGTCCACTTATACATACGCTAAAATTTTGTGTAGTTAAAGTGTTTTCCTTCTCAAACCCTCAGTTTTGAGGCTCTGTGAAATGAGAGGTTTTTCCATACTTTCAGTACTGAAAGTCTGTATTCCTAAATTAAAGTTTGCATTTTATGATCCATACTACCTACATTTAGAAAAGTTAGAGCAGCAAGGAAGGGTAGGAATCTTATGTTTTTGCCATGTTTTAGCAGTTGGCTAGAGTAACTAATGTGTTGTTTGAAATATTCCTGTGTTATGAGAGAGGCCATAAGTCTTAGTGGAAGAGTTTAAGCTTTGGAGTCTGAATAAATTTTGTTCAAAGCTGATGCCTGGCACTTACAGTATGACTTTGATTAGTCAAGTTATTTAATAGTTAATCTCTGATTTTTAAGTCTGACAATATATCAGTGTCACTGACATTTTCAAGGATTTAGTGAGATGATGCATGTACAGTGCCTCTCAGTATGTGCTTATCATATAGTGTATAGTATAGAGCTAATGAGTCTTGACAAGATCTGTTTTCTTCCACTACTTTGATCATGGGTTATTTGAGGTTTTTAGAACAATAATGTTCATTACAGCATTACTTTAATAGCAAATTGTTAGAAACAATCTAGAATCTGATAATAGGGGAATGATTAAAGTATGGTGTAATAAAAATGATGAGGTGTTAGGAAACTACTACAGATCATGTTTTTAAAGAATATTTAATGACATGAAAGCATAATGTTATATAAATAAGACAAGTATATTATAGTATTTTTAAAATATGTTTTTATTGATTTGAGAGAGAAAGGGAGAGGGGGAGAGAGAAACATCAATCGGTTGCCTCCTGGGAACCTGCAACCTGGGCAAGTCCCTGATCAGGAATTGAACCAGTGACCTTTCAGAAGTGCACACAATGCTCAACCAACAGAGCCACGCTGGCAGCCTGTTACTATATTCTTCAAACAAACATGGATATACATAGTAAATGTAGGGAAAAAAATATACTAAATGTTCATTGTCATCTATGAGTGAATTTTTAAAACCGTTTATTTTAATTTTTCAAAAATGTTACAATATGCATGGCTCAGCAGTTGAGCATCGACCTAGGATCCAGGAGATTGGGGGCTCAATTCCCGGTCAGGGCACATGCCCAGGTTGCAGGCTGCAGCCGATCAGTGACTCTCTCATCATTGATGTTTCTGTCTCTCTCCCTCTCCTTTCCTCTCTCTGAAATCAATAAAGATATATTTTTTTAAACAATTACATTCTTTTTAAACATAAATAAGTGAATACGTGAGCTCAAATTTAGAGCTCCACAGAGAACAAAAGCTCATTTTGATCCCCTTTTAAATCTATTTTATTGCCTCATATGGAATCATCCAAAGCTTTTTATTTAAAATCTATACCAAATACTGAATTAACTATTTAAAATTATTAGATTTGCTGTGGTATTGGAATGTAGCTAGGTTAAATATAGACTATATGTATTACTCAGGAAAGCTATCTGATTTTTTTTCAAAGTAATGCGCTTTCTTTATAAGAGCGTTTCACAAATATTTCAACTTATTGAATCATTTTTAAAGTAACACTTGTAATTCTTTTTCCTTTCTAGTTTCCTGCCTGTGATGGTTCACATAATAAACACAATGAATTGACAGGAGATAATGTGGGCCCACTAATACTGAAGAAGAAAGAAGTATAATAGTAATGAAATAGGAGTGAATTGTGTGCTGTAAAATCTTATAATGATATTTTTTCATTCTTTGTGTATAGATCTTTCAAATGGTGGTCTTCGTTATTACTACTAGTGGAGTAACTATTTCTGCAAATTCATTTTCTTGCTACACTACTGTTTATATTTGATAGTTCATATGTTCAATCATTTATATAGAAATTAAATTGTGCACCCTTTATTCTGACTTCAAAGAATTGATGTATCTTCCTACAATAAAACCAACACTTTTGATTTTAATTAATTGGGCAGTGGATCCAAAACTATTTGAATATCAATATGTTCAATAGAATATATAATTTAAAATTTTCTCCCTACTCTATTAAATGTTATCTTTCAGTTACCTTCTGTTTTGATCAGTTGAAGTGATTTCTTTCTTTTTCAGCCTTCCTCTCTCCATTCTACTTAGATCAATAAGGAAAATACTGTTCTCAAGAATTACTTGAATTTTCAAAGAGATAAACTCTTTGCTTTATAGAGATTATTGTCTAATAAATATAAATATCCCAATTTCAGGGAAGATGTGAACTGGATATAGAAAGTTCCAACTAGGAACACTTATTTACATTATAAAAGTTTGTTTACAATAGACTTGTTTGCATCCGCTTAGGTATCTTGTGTATCTTGAGCTGTTTGACTCACTAAGAGGGTGGGGTGGGGTGGCAAGAACACTTATACCTAAACTCATGAGCTGCTGAAATTTAAAGGTCAACTAGAAATAAACATATTAAAATAATAAGTATTTCAGTGGTTAAAATTGTGTTTATATGAACATTTTCCTCTTTATAACAGTGTAAACCGATAAAACAACACAAAAAGTTTGCAAAATAAACTTACTGGAGACTCTTTAAAACCTGTAATTTTTTAGTCTAAGAGTCTGTTTAGTTTCATCTTGTGCTGTATTACAGTTCTTATGTTGTTAGCTATTTTTAAGTCTATTAAAGATAGAATCCAGTCACTTCACTATGCTGTCCTTAAATATGGAGAAGGTGCAGGAGGCAGACATGTAATTCTTCTTCCAATCATAAAGCTGATATTTATTGAGCACTTATATGTACCAGACACCACACTAAGCATGGTACCTGGATTTTTAATTTATTACATGTAATGCCAGTAGGTTGTGTTGTGTGATCTTGACTTTCACATGACCAAGAGCAGGAATTTTAAAGTTAGGGTTAGAAATGTAGTTGTAGTTTTAAGGAGTTTTACAAGGTGTAAGTCCAAAATTATTGTTGCTCTTTCCTCTCCTCACCTGTGAGGAGGGAAATATAACATTGTTCTTACTTTGGTTCTGGGTACTTTTTCCTGAAACCTCTTCTTCAACAACCCTAAAGGGGCTTCACTGTCAGATTAACCAATTATTTTTACATAGTTGATCACAAGACCTTGGGAAAAATCTTCTCCTCCAAAAGTTTGGATAGCCTTGGAAAGTTTGAATCTTTCACTGTAACTGACAGAGAAATGTTTATATATGTCCTAGCTCCATACTTAGATTTCATAGGAGAAGAGAAATTTTCCAACTGTGGAGACTAAAATGAAATTATCAACTTTAAATTTTGTCAAGAACATTAAAAAAATTGAAAACTAATCATCTAAAACATCACTTTTAACACCCCAAAAGTAAGAAGGTATACTCTCAATAAAGTTTCCCCTCACATGTTCAGTTGCTTAAATATGTTAAAGAATTGTGCCCAAATATTTTTCCCACCTGTGCAAGTTTTTCGGAAGCCTGGGGTTGGTAGCAAGCTGTTTTAATAACTACATTATGCATTATGATCAGTTGCTGTCACTTCTTGTAAATTCCCAGAACTCCATCATAAGCAACTGCATCTGAATTAATACAACAGAAGATAACTTAGCTCTTGAAATACATACCTTGGGTTTCTAAAACCTTCACGGAACAGCTCTGTTGTTACTGTCTCACATGATTGTTTCGAGGCCTCCTTCTTACCCAGAGAGCTACTCATTGCCTTGGTCAGCAAAGGAGCACCTCTGTTTCATAAGTAGGTATTCAAACTGTTGAGTAGGCTTCAGGTATTAATGATTCATTCATTCATATGGATAATTAAGCAAGTTGTATTATGAACAGCACATTACAAAGCTTTGAATTCAATGCCTCATGATGATTCATTAAATTACGTTTGTATTTTGTAACCTAATTTGTTAGTAAGTTTATGCAAAGCTAATTAAGCCATCTGCTGGCCTGTGTATTTCTGCCTTCTTTACATAGTCTTCCTTAAGAACGTGCTGTCAGACTCTTCTGCAAAGAGAGTCGTAGTCTCAAAACGCTGCTGTTCAACAGGGTTCATAAGTTAGGGTGGACATTTTATTTACTGCCGACCAGAAGCATCTAACTAAGGGCACTTCATTCGTTTCGAGTGCAGCTGTGGCAGCGTCGCCGATCTGGAGGAGGCAGGAGAGAGGTGCTGGTAACTCACGTGCTCCACTCAGAAGCGAGTGCCTCAGGTCCCGTCTTCACAGTCTCCTTTTTCTTACTTCACACCTGATTCTAACAAGTTTGGTTATCTGATTTCTGCTCCTCAAGAAATCACAAGTATCTACAGGGTCCTTCAGAGGCAGGGAAACAATAAAATGTGACAGCTGACTGCAGGGGAGGAGGGAACCAAAAATAAATACAATGTGAAAATTAAAAGCATTGCACCTCAGGACCATTAGGGGATCCTGCACAGCACAGTCCCTGAGAGCATTTCTGTCATCAAATTATACAAGGGATGTTTGATGATGAATTTGAATCAAGTACTATATGGTATTTTATTTTTAAAATGTTTTTATTAATTTTAGAGAAAGGGAGAGGGGGAGAGAGAGAGAGAGAAACACTGATATGAAAAACACCAACCGGTTGCCTCCTGTACGGACCCTGACCAGGGGATCGAACAAACCCACAACCTGGGCCTGTGCCCTGATCAGGAATCGAACCAGGAACCTTTTGATGCACAAGACGATGCTCAACCAACCGAGCGGCCCCGGCCAGGGCAATACTGTGTGGTAAGGTGGTAAGAAGGAAGGGTATGTGTTGCTTTTGATGATACCAGTTTCCACTTCAAGTAGTTAAAAGCTTAGTGCTTAAAGTGGTACATCCCAGGAGAAAATTGGTGCAGGAAATAGCTTGACTCATTCCCCGATATTTGGAGGCTTATCATAGGAAGTTTTTCCATTCAACTAAAACATGTTTCAAGTTTCATGACTGCAATTCACTACAAAATTTAATTTGTTAAAGAATGAGGAAAACTAAATAAAGGAATAGTGATTTAAGCCGCATGAATTATGTTCAATGACCTCCTCCCCTTTAGGAGGACTGAAATCATCTTTAAAATCCACTGAGCAGCAGTTCACTAACTGCCTTACTGCCTTGCTGGCCATTTCTGTCCCTTGCCCCAGAGGTGGGAATGCAGGACTCCCAGAGCTGTTTTTTTGGTTGGTTGGTTGGTTTTAGCTGTGCTGTTTCATCTGAGGTTGTGCTGTAGTTTGTCATAAAAATCTTTTACTAGGAGCTCGCTTTATTTTATCATGTTCACATAGTCTGATTTTAACTTTTGCTCCAGTTTCATCAATCATGTAGCAAGCATTATTTTAATATAAAAAGTAGACAGTCCGTATTAGTTACTGTATTAGCAATTGTGTTATGCAACTTTATACTAGTTATGGTCCTGAAGAACACTGAAAATCTATTACGCGTATCAATGTCTTTGAGACAGAGGACATCACTCTTTTGGCTTAAGTGCTTGATTGTTTGCTTACAGAGGATCTGTGACTCTGTTCTCACAGAGCTCTGTTGTCGGATTAGCTACAATGTTAACAAGTTCCTGATCTCCATTATAAGGCCGTAATCTTCCAAATAATATAGAAAAGGGGAAAAGGGTAATAAATTGCATAATTAGAGATGAGCCCTGTGCTACTGAGAAAATAAAACTGTCAACAAACAATTCGCTACATTTTAAAATTTTCTGTAAGTTTTATTAGTATTCACCATGCATTCCTCTGTATTATCACACTAAAGATAGGCATCAATAACACCCATTCAACAAATTTAAGAAACTCAAAACCTAGAAGTACAGAGTTTTCAACTATATTGGTGTCAAGAAGTAAAACAAGATGAAAATAGAAAAAGGTTCACCTTAAAAGGCTGTGTGCAACTGTAAAGCAACACTTTGGTAGAGGAGATGCATAATTTCCTAGGAAGACATAAATGACGGAAAGTGACATATGGCGAAATTTAAAATGTTAATTGAACAATATCAAGTAAGAATGGAAAAATGATATCTTAAATCCATAATTTAAAAAGTACTAGGGTTGCATGAAAGATAATTCCAATGTTATTTAAATAATCAGAAATTTTTTTAAAAGGAAAAAAACTGCCCAGCCGGGCGTGGCTCAGCGGTTGAGCGTCGACCTGGGATGCAGGCGATTGGGGTTCGATTCCCGGTCAGGGCACATGCCCGGGTTGCGGGCTCGATTAATGACTCTCACATCATTGATGTTTCTATCTCTCTCTTTCCCTCTCCCTCTCTCTGAAATCAATAAAGATATATTAAAAAAATAAAAATAAATAAATAAATAAAGGGGAAAAACTTCCCAATTTTTTCATTTGGCTAGTATAACATTAGTATAAAAAGCTGATAAAGAAACACAAGACAATCCCCCCTTCCCCTATAGACCAGTGTCGCTTGTACACATGGATGAAAATA